TGCTCCTTATAATGCTGTCCCAAGATGAGTTTTTGTATAATATGGTATAGCCTATTGTCAGGAATAGCTTTAGTATCATCTTGTCCAGAGCATACCATATACTCTGAAGGTAAGTGACCAAATGTCTGTGGCCCACTTCACAACTGGAAAAGCTGGCATCCAATTATGTTACACTATTAAAATGCTGCTACTGCGTGAAACTTGGTTGTGTTTACTCCTTATACATTTTAGTGTCCTTGTCTATAGTCCTGTGGCCTTGTAGCATGCAAGAAATGCATTGTTTGCCCCTAATTTGAAGTACCAGGTTCTATTTGTGTTTTCAGAGTTGTAAAGCCAATTTTATAAGTGGTACTGCCCCTGATGACAGGCAGATTCTCGAACTTGCTATGCAGAGAGAGCTTGCATACTGAGGGTTCTAATTGAGTACTCCAGGGGCACTTTTGCTAAAGCCTGAATATCTTGTATTGTCTATAGGTTAAGGGATTTAAGCCTGCTAAATTGCCCTGACAGGTGATTGCTTGAGGCCACAAATCAGAAGGGAGGTATTTCATCCCACTAAAGAATTTTAAGTGGTACATCACAGATGTAGTTTGGCTAGAGGAGCTGATCTTGTGTAGGTGAAAGGGTATTTCACTGCAGCACTGCTGAGCATTGAGGTGCTAATCTGAGTAAAAACCTGGCTGAAGTAAGTACCTGTGACAGAGGCAGTGCCTTCTCACTATTCTGCTCTCAGGCACTTGAGTCTGTCTCAAAACAAAACCAGTATTTTATCCATCTTCAGTTCTTTCTTTTAAATAAAAATGTCACTCAGTAGGAAAAAATTATTTAGATGCATCAATGGTTATGTGCAACCATCTGAATTGATGCTGAATAAGCCGATTTTCCTAATACCAAGTCATTTACTTTACAAGCGGGAACTTATATAGCTGGAGGAAAGAGAAGAACTTACTGTGTGATACCATGACATTGCACATCTTCCCACCATCTCTGAAGTCTACAGATTTTCTTGTTTGTTCTTCTGCTGTGTCTCACTGATTCCTGGATATTGATGGGTTTTTTAAAGGAAGCTGGGGATTAGCAGCAGTGAATATTGTAGTTAGGGCATTCTCCTTAAAGAAGAGAGAGTGGACTTGAGCTGCCTCAGTTTGAGGGCTTTGAGCCACTCTGTCAAGGACTCACTTGAGATGCCACAGGTCACTCTCTCTTGCTTCCTTCCAGCAGATGCCTATCTGCAAAAGAGAGTCCTTTGTCAATATTTTCTTGTAGAGGTTTCCTCATCAGGAACATGGAGCCACCTTATAGGTGTCAGAAAAGCAGATTTCTTCTTAAGCGCTTCACTTCAGATGTTCTTGTTTCTCTCAATTTTCTGTACAGAGCTGGAAAGCTTTTCTGGCTTTACATGATGTGATTAATTAGCCTGGCTCTGGTCAACACTTGAAGTGTTGCAGCCTTGAGTTAGCATCTAAGTGAGCTGAATGTCTCAAAAATGTCTTAGTACGTAACATGTAAGCATAGTTATCTGCCTTCTGGAGATGGAATATTGTTAAGTTTTACCAAAAAGCTTTATCATCTGTGCTTACAGCTTGCCTCTAAGTAACTTGAGTGGGCTATATAGTACCTTCTCTGTTGATACAGCTCCAGAAGGAGAGTGGAAAGAAAAAAATTCAATATTGGGATAACCACTCTGATAGATGACTTAATTAGTTTTCAGGGTTTTTTTTGTTTTTGTTTTTTTGCAAGTGCCAAAACAGTGTTTGTTATTGTGCATCACTTCAGTAATATTGAAATACTCTGATTTTAAGTAGTGCTATGAAAACTTACAAAACATATATTTTTATGCTTTTATTTTTCTTGTATTTCTACTTCATCTTGCTCCCAAGAGTAATTTACAGCAACGAAAAAAGAAAAAAAAAAAAAAAGAAAATGATAGGTCATGTGATAAGTAGCATAAAACTCAGTTCTGACAGGATTTTAAGAAGACAAAAAAAGTTGGTGAGGTTATTGGAAAGTTATTGGAAAGTTTGAACTTAGTGGTTTTGAGGAAATCCTGGTGGTTTTTTTTTTTCACGTTACTGAACATTGTAGAATGGGTATTGACAGTAACGATATCACCAGGTCTGGACCCTGTGCACTGCAGATGAGCAGAGTTATTTGCCCTAATTTTCACAGGCATTACCTAATGACATAGAGTGGCATTAATCTTTGAAATTAGGTCGTTTAAATTTTATAATTTAAATATATGTTGTGTTTAGCAACTTGTAGCCTTTGTAGATGCATTTTGTCAGTTTAAAAAGGCTTCTTGTGATCATAGAATGTGAGGTGGGGAAGAAGAGGACAGCAGTTGGTGTCTCAAGATGCATCTAAAATCATGGAAAGAAAAATACTTTGTAAATCTATTCATCTTTTTTATCTCTAAAACAGGTGGATGAAGTTTTCATGATAGCTAGCAAATCATTCAGGACTTAGATCACAGTGGAAATGGATAAGAATTAGCTCTTGACAAAACAAGAATACTCTTCAGTAATATTTTTAGTGTATTTGCTGTTGACAACTTTTTGCTACAAAAAGTAAAGAAGAGTCTATATGAGAGACACCGTGATTTATAATCGGATGTATGATGGAAAACATGAAAGTTGAGGAAAGTTTTGGTAAATGTGCCTTAAATGAGAGTTTATGGTTCTTAGTAACAAAAGAGGAGAAGAATGTTGAAGTAAAAACATTGGATTTTGTGAAAGAAGGCTGCAGTAAATACAGAATTGGGAGATAAGATCTCTTCAGTCAAGCCTTAAGGGGAAAAGGAATTAAGGAGAAGTGATGCTTTGTCAGAGATAATACTAAAGCACAAACAATGCTAATGCAGAGATTTAGATTTTAATTAAACTGTAAATTCTTCATTGACCTCTGAGGCTTTCTTAGTTTGCCAAGGAACAGAATAAAAGACTTGTATGAGAAAGGGACACAGCTGGGTAAGGAATAAGGAACGCACAGAGATTACCTGCACTTCACTTTTAAGCAAGAGTAGGCACATGCACACACATCCGAAAATACTATGTTGCACAGTAATGGAAGAGCCAAACAAAATGTTTATCATTTATAAGCTTTTCCTCCAGTGGCAAGAAAATGATGCTGGGGGTTCTAAAGCTTTTCATCTTATTTTTTGTAAGTTTTGGCTAAAAAGAGTCCACTGCATTCTGCCATCTGGTTTTATGCAAATTAGTTGTTTCTGAAAATTAAATACTATGAAACATTAAAAAAAGGTCACTAACACCAATTTGAGGAATACCATAGGTAGGTTTTAATTTTAAAGTGTTAAATACATACATTTGGAGGTTATTTAAAAATATTTAGGTGTTCCCTAACTTCTAAGAACAAAGAAAACTGGTGTTGTAAATGAATGAATGCACCACCACAACTATGTTTCTTGAGATCTTTTCTTCTGGAGTTTATTCTTTTGACAATCTGACTGGTAGGCCAAATAAATACCTGTTTCAGCTAGAAATACCAGAAGTTGGTTTTTGAATTATGTGTTTTGTTCTTCAGACTGGTCTGCAATAAAACCAGAAACCAGCAAGTGTTTATGCTTAATTTAGTGTGATGATGTGTGTATTATGCCATTTAGAGAATCAGGACTTTGTAGAGAATATACCATATGTAGGCAAAAAATAATAAAAGTTATAATGCTTTATTTTAATAACTGTCTGCTCTTGTAGGAAGAATTATTACTAGCGTAATGTCAACTACATGTTTAAGGATGATTTTTTTACCAGCATAATTTAGCTGTGTGGGCATAGATAGCTGGTTATCCTACAAACTTCTTCAGGCAGTTGTCAAATCATTTTGGCTACCAAACAAATGTGATTTTATCCATGTTATAAAATAGAAATTACACTACAGCTGGGGCAGCTGAATAAAAGAACCAGTAATGGTACCTACACTTCTAGATTTTGCTCTCTTCCATGCAGCACTTGGTGAGCATGGTGGTTTGTTCTATAATAAAGACACTGGAGGGGGGACATAAAATCCCAATTAGTGAATGCAGTAATACTTTTGAGTACTGAATGTGGATTTCACTGTGGTAGGTCCATGTGAGAATGGCATGGTATAGAATAAAATGAATGAAATAATAATGAAATAGAATAAAATGAAAGGTCACTGTCTACTTTTTCCCTCTTAACCATTATTTGAAGCATATTTCATATGCTCTTCTCATCCCTTGTCTCTGAAATAAATTTTCATTTTTTGTTGTTTTAGTTCATGTCATGACCGTTATGTCAGTTGCTTTAGCTGGTTCCCATCATTTGAATCAAAGGATCAAAGTACTTGCATCCTCCGGGACAAGTATAAATAAAAAGAATTGAAATATTCTTAGAAAATACTCTTGTTACACTGGGAATCATTTGCCTAACTTAGCTTTTCCAAGAGATGAAACTAAGTGAGAAAAAAACGGTGCCAACTCTGCCTTCGGAGTAATTCGGAAATATTGCTTGTGATTTATGTAAATTATTCTTAGCAAAACAAAATTACTTCAGGAATAACACATGTACTATATTACACATAGTCCAGCTCTTTCAGGGGATCACAGTATTAAGAATATAATTTACCAGTATGTTTTAGGAAGCTCAACATTTTAAGCATGATCTATGTAAAATTCATATGCCTTACGGCTGGGTGAGATGGATGTGCCTTAACTAGGCTGACAACAAGCTGGGATCATGGTAGGATTAAAAACAACCCTCTTGTAACTAATAAAGAAGAGTGGCACTTTCATTAAGTTTCACTTAATTCCAGTTTTTTCTTGGAATTAATTTTAAGTCAAAGTTTCTGTTTTAGATGATACAAATCTCAGCTTTCTCCACACTGATACTTCTACTTTTCATTCTGTTAAATGTTAAACTCTGTAACACCAATTAAATCTACCGTAAATGAAGTATGAGTAAATGTTTAATCTTTCTGTGAACTTTGAATGGTATACTAGTGGTTTCTCTTTTTCTTTGAATTAGATGGAGAGCAGAAGACTCAAGTGATGATTCATGGAATTGAGCCAATGCTGGAAACACCCATTCAGTGGCTAAGCGAACATATGAGCTATCCAGATAATTTTCTCCACATTAGTATCATTCCCCGACCTACTGATTGAAAGTCAGCTATATTCGTATGAGGATCATTCTCGAGCTGGAATTCTAAGGGCATGTCAACTTCTTGCTTCTGTCAGTCTTGACAGAGGCAGCCTGACCAGAAAAAAAGAAACCAACAAAAAGCCGAAACAAAACAAGAAGTCCTCACTGCTGTAAGCCAAACAGGAAGAGAGATCCTATCATCAGATAAGGGCAATTGGGCTGATCTTATTTTGCATCACTGCTGCGTTTGTTCACCGCTGTAATTAAATCAGTTGCGATATGAAAGAATTCACAGGACTTCTGCAAGTCTGCTGTTTTCTTGTAAAATATAATTAAACTGAAACTGTCAGCCGAAGAGCAAATGGAAATATGCCACTTGATTGTATTTCTGATTAACAAATAAACAGGGCTGTTTCCTAAAGAGGTAGTGTTTCAGCTTTGAGGGTGGAAACATTGGTTTAATTTTCTAGAAAGTTAGACACTGAGAGATTTGGTTACCAATAGCTTTTTGTAAAAGATCAAATTACTGTAAATCCATCTTTCCTTAATGAGAAGTTCATGTTTACAGTATATGTATTGGTATGCAAATGATCTTTTAACTTTGATAACAAGCAGTGAGAGATTTTAGAGTAAGCCCGTGAGCATGTTTTGTCAGTTAAAAACATGCACAACTTAATAATTACAAATACTTTTGTATGCTGTCACTGAATACTCCAGTGTGTTTATTATTCAAACCAATTTTCATAGACTAGCAACGATGTAGGATAATTTGTCTCAGGAGTCATCATGGCATTTCTTTGTGCTCATCTAATTTTTTTTTTCTTTAAGAATATATTTTCTTAATTTACTTTAAAAAGTTTTTTTTTTTTAAAAAAAAAAAAGTTACAACGATGTTGCAAACAGGATTGTATCCTGCTGTTTATTCCCATAGACTAGGAAACAGTTAAATCATAGAATGATGAACAGATTACTTTTTAATGATTTTGAGTTTTGGAAAGCTGAGGTTTTTCCAAGCTAATACGTTCTTACATTTGTGGTCCCTGAGCAGTCAGTCCACAGTTTGGAAGCTTCTCATCTCATTGCACAGATTTTTTCTTAGTGTAGCAGATGTATTTTTAGGTTATTTGGATCATTTTGGTTTCTAAATGTTTGTTACCATTGCAGATGCTACTCAAACTCTACCAATTTTTTTTTTGTGTTACGCTAAATTTATCAAACTCTGTGCTTTATTGCATTGTCTGCATTTTGTGGCTGTTTGTGGCAGAAAACTATGTTTATAGTAGACATATTATCCAATCTGTCAAATATTATCCAATATAAAGAAAGCATGACATTTTTCTTTCAAAAATAGTGGCTGTCGAAGCTCCTACTCACAGTCTTGACTTGTAAATGTCCCGGTAATTCCCAGTGCTGTTCCCATTGGTTTCCATGCTCCCTTTATGGTAGGATACTTACCTGTATCTGAAAAAGAAGAAAATGAAAATCAATCAAATGAACAAAAACCTCTTTCTGAAGCCAGAGGGAGGAAGGATCTCCATGGGTGAGGATAGGGTTGAGGCGAAGAAGAGCCCTGAGGGCAGAAAAAGACGGTAGACAGATTAGATACTGTTTAAAACATTAATGAGGAAATAGCATTAAGGAAATGGAAGGGTAAAGGTACTAATGAAACAAACCTATGCTGTATTTTGCAGGACATGAAGAATTTTTAAAACAAAACAAACCATGCTGGTCTGTGTTTATGCAGAATTGAAATATAATATTCTTATGGTGGGATGATTTAGTTCAGTCATTCTAATTCCCAGTTCTGTTTGGAATTTTTGTTACAGTGTTGGATTGGCATTTGTAAACTTCCTTAGGCACACATATCTAAATATTTTGGAGATTTTCAAAGTCCTCCCAATGGAGAAAGCAAATATTTTGTAGAGTCTTCATATTTAAAAAAACTCCAAACTTTTGTAGGGATAATTTTTCCATTAATCAGGATAAGAGGCAATACATTTCAAAAACTGTAGAAGATTGTCTTTCCTTTGTTTTAAGGTAAATCTGGAGTGGGTCACTGGCTATTTTAATATATTCTACACCAGCATTTTAAGTATACAGCTCTTCTCATGGCCCATGTTTGGCGGTAAATCTGACTTTAAGGCCTAGCATGGAACAAAGAAATAGCTTGGCTTTAAAACATACTCTTTCCTCTTACTTTAACTATTTAAACTTTATTAAAAAATAAAACAAAGTTTGAGTCTGTCTTTATTTCCAGATAAATAAGGATCTTTGTAATTGGATGACAAGAGTATTTAATTAATACTTAGTAAGTAGGAACTTCTGAGAAGAGGTTCTTAGAATATCACCACATATAGAAGGGTTCTGAATTAAAGCAGGTAGGTATCTATTCTGTGTTAAAATATCTGGTTTTGAGATAGGCATGGTGACATTTTGAAATGTCACAGTAAATCTGAGTAATATCTCTTGAGAGAGAGGTAAAAAGACATTCAGACCTAGATTTCATATTTCTGTACTTTCAAGTTACACTGTTAAATTAGCTTGTGGAAGATGAATTTAAAATGGGAGAGATGTTTTCTCTACTTCCCTTACCTTTCCTGTCTCCAAGATTCAAGTAATTAAGTTCTCTTAACTGTGAAACAAAACACCAGTTTCTCTGAACAGATTGAAGAACACAAAGGAATACAAACCAGCTATGCAACAGCTACATCAAGAGTTTGGAGTATGTCAAGGTTTTATATGTATAAAATAACTAGCATTACATGGAGTTTATAGGTGTGGTTTTAGTAGCATTTATATGTATAAAAACCACTCGGGTAGAAAGAGAAGCAGTCAAACACCATCTTAGGGCTGGAGGATCTTGACTGCAATTGAAACTGCCAAAATGTGTCCGATTTTAAAATAGCACTTTCCACTGAAGATGTTCGAAGCCTTAATCCTTGCATAATTCCACTAATCTAGGTCAATAATAGAATGAATATGTTGTGGAAACAAATCTGTGATGTAGCTACTAATAGTCACTATACCCTGAGCTCTCACCATAACTGAGTATAACATGTTGCAAAGGGTAAATCCAATTTGTGATGTAGTTTGCTTGCATCTGTTGCAATTTGGAGGATTGCTTGCTAGACTTTTGTCAAGTGTGTTTTGCAAGTTCACAAGCACTTAGAAACCTCTAGAAGCTTGGTTCTTTTCAAAGAAAATCGGGCTGTAGTAGGGGAAAAACAATCAATAGCGCTGTTCACTAAACCTGTCCCTTCAGTGGCTGCCTTACAGTGAAAGACACATGGAGAGTGAGAGCTGGCGATGCCTTATTTTGTACAGATATGTATATAATTTCTCCTTGTGTATATTGTTACTTAGTGTCCCAGCTACCATAACAAATCAGACAACTTGTTATTCTTTCAGCTAGACAGAGGTGCTTAAGTATTTTTATTACTACAAAATTAAAGATCAGAATGGAAACTATCTGGCTGAAACTTGCACCTTACATGCTTTTCTGACTATAATTAAAATAATCTGCACTTCAGAGGTTTGATTTCCATCAGTCATATGTATACACACCCTCACTGGATTTTTTCCACAGATCAAAATTAGCAAAATAGGCTGGTTTTCCTTCATTTTAAAGTTTATCTGAGTCTGTACAAGGCAAACAGGAGGAGGGGATCAGGCCACAGGGGTGAGTCTAAAGCCCTGAAATTGTTGCATGATACAGGAAGTCATAAAGTTTCTTCACCATTTCCACAGTGACCATTTTATCATATGAATCCTGGCCCTTGCAGATTCTTCTTTAATTTGCAGCTTCTCTTTATTTAGCTGATGCTTGACCTCAGCTGAGTAATGATGAGGCTGTGCCTGCCCCTGGCTCCACAGCTCCCGTCTCTGCCTTGCAGGACTACCATCGGTGCCTTGTGTGTGGCTAAAATGCCCATCTCTGGGGCCCTCCCTGACACTTCTCACACAGCTCCTCCTTCACCATCACAGGACGAGTTCATTTCTGCTGGCTTTTACCACAAACTGGGTGGCCCTGTAGGAAAGCAGTGAGAGAAGGGTGCAGAGGAGAGAGGGAAATGAGAGGAATTAAAAAACAGTGAAGGTGGGGCTTGAGAGAAAATACTTTGTGGGGAGTTAAATGACAGAGCCAGATTCTTGATCTCACCCAGGTTTCTCATTCACTCATCACCTTACAGCTCCCACCAGGTGCTTTCCTTTCCATGAATACAGTGCAATGGCTTTCACCTGCAGGACAAAGCGTCTGGCACCTGTGGTGTTGCCTGGAGTGAGCAGTGCACTGAGTGTCTATTTAACTTTGATGGTTTAGCACATTGCTGAAGAAGGCCTTTATTTACAGGAACTGTTTCAGAGCTTCCTCCTCTGCAGCAGATCCTTGGCCTAGACTTACTTCATGTGAGGAGTCAGTTTGGGGAGGTCCTGCTACAGAAAACATCCTGCCCAGGTGCCACAGGTCACTGTTCCAATACACTGTATGTTGGAAAACTGAGTCACGGGGATGGATGGATGGATGGATGAGTCACTAGAGGACCTTTCTTTCATGAAAATTACTATTTCTTGTCTCTCAAGTTTTAGTTTATGCTGTTCTGAATGTTTCATATAGAACAGCAGAATACATTTTCAGTGTGGGTGATAAATACCAAGCCCAGTTTTGGTCACAAGCCTTTTCTGTTTCATTTTCCAGTCAGAATAAAATTCCATTATATGGGGTGTAGTTATAGAACAAGATGTTAATATTTGTAATGAGTCTGTTGTAATCATCAGCATTTCTGCACTGCACATCTCAACACCTTTCAGTATGAAAATACATGAGGACTTCTGCTGAGGCATGGTTTTGCTGAGCCACCCAGGCAGCTTTTCTGCCAGTTTGGGAGGTCTGCTCCCCTATGGAAATTCTCTAGTTTTGGTTTATTGTATGTAAATTTATACTTGATGGCTGTTGAGAAAATGACTGGAAGAATAGCCATAATGGCAATGGAAAAAAGAAAACCAAAAAACTAACAATAAAAAAAAGCAAAGCTTAATTTATTGCTCAAATGGAATGTCCTTCAGTAAGAAATCATAATGTCAGTTTTCAGTGAAATTAGTGATGTCCTACTTCTGGTTGTGCATTCAGTTGTTTCAGTGGTAAGAGGGAACAATCCTAATGGGTCAGCTTACAATTGCCTTGAAATATATATATAGTGTGTGTTTTTAATTAATATGCCAATAACAGGAACTACTTGTTTTTTATTCTTTCTCTTACTAATACTTGAATGTGTTCAAGGGTTCTGCTGCAATTGGTGTCCTCAGGGAAGTGCAGCAGGAATTGTGTCTCTTCTGGCCTCCATAGATCACACTAGGATCAGTGTCTTTTGGAGGTACCAGGGAAAATAGTTCTCTGAAGCTTACCTACTTGCACTTTTCCCTCCCTTCTTTCCCAAAGTAGATGCCACAATTTTCCATCATGCAACGCTTTTTGTTGTTGTTGTTTTTGCATGCATTGGACAACAAACCAGGTGAACTGTAGCTACTGAGCATGATAATGATCTTCAGGTGTCATTTTGGGGAGAGTCTCTGAAATTTAGGTCTTTCAAGTCTCTGAGCCACACCTCTAACAGGGACTTGTTCTGGCGTAGCCACACAAGCTTCCAACAAGATAATACAAGGTATAAATTAAATTATCTTTAAAAATTGGCACCAATGTAAATGGAAGTATCCCCAGCCTTCATTCAGGCTGTTTTTGCTGTTTCTGTGTAATCAGCTTTCTGGATACTTTCAAAAAGCAAACCTCACTGAGATCGTGTGGAGGGAACAGACGATGCTTGTTGCACAACTCCCTTGCCTGCGCCCGGCTCAGCCCATGCTTGTGTCAATTAACAGTGCTCAAAACCACAGCGGCT